CCAAGCCTCTTTTCAGCATGTGTCGTAAAAATTTCAGTCATCTCTTCCCAATGTTTAGTATAAATGTTCCTTTTGTTTCCATTTTATCAAAAACTTCGTTGTTCACGTATTCTTTCCATGGTATTCTCAGCATCCTTCTGTAGAGCCATATTTCTGCTACCTCTTCTTCATCTGTCAGGTGATTGTCCAGGATTCCTTGTCATATAAAAAGACTGATATTACATAACAGTCTAGTACTCTTTTGTTTGTTTTTAAAGACATTTTCTTGTTTCTTAATACTTTGCTTATCTTTTGGAAGACGTCTTTCGCCATCCAAATACGTTAGGCTAGTAGTTCCCAAACTTTTTTTTTTCACAATGAAAATTTGCGCACGCCTCACCAAATTTTAGATGATAAAAAGTACATAAAAAACCCCCCAAAAAACAAAAAAAAATACAGTGAGGATTTAAGGGGGAAAAATGATTCGAAGACATAACTTTCTCCTCCAATTTGCAGACGCTAGTTACTATATTCTTAATACTTGATATAATGCGAAAATATTACAATGGTAAAATCGGTCAATAATTATTCATAACTATTTATATTGGGACTCATGCAGGCAATTACAAGTAATCCATAATAATATTTTAAATTTTGAAGTCATATTTATTTTTGCCATATGAATTTTTATGAAACTGTTTCTAAATCTTTGATTGTCTTTCAATCATTCCGCCTCACCTGCTATCTTCTTCCGATACACCTATGAGACGTACCGCAACGTTTGGGAATCACTGGTCTGGGAGAAGGACAACTCTGAATTCAAAACGCTATGTAGCCCTCGCGTAATGTGTATGTATCTGATAATTTCATACTTATGAATTTCATTCAGTACTTTCGGCTTGTGTTCAAATTTAACCCATAGCCTCCTGTCGAGTTTGAATTTCAGTTGAGCTGCGTTACAATCACTTTCGTACAAATATCATTGGGAAAGTAATGAATCCATCTCTTCTTCTGTCAGCTATGAGTTAAATGGTGTGGGCTGATTGGGTTCTTTAGCCTTGGGTGGCAATCAGTCTAGGACAGTGGTCCCCAAATATTTTTTTTCTCTGTGACGTATTTTCAGAATGGAAATTTGGTCGCACCTCACCAAATTTGATGTGATAAAAGTACATTTAAAAATTAAAAAAAAAGAGGTTTAAAGGGACTAATCGTGGTTTCGAAGCCAGAACATTATCATTGATAACTCTCTCCTCTAATTTGCGGGCCCTATTTATTATATTCTTAATACTTGATATAATGCAAAAATATCACAATGATGAAATCGGTCAATAATTATTTATAACTGGGACTCATGCATGCAATTACAAGTCATCCATAATAATATTTTAAATTTTGAAATCATATTTATTTTTGGCATATGAATTTTTATGAAACTGTTTCTAATCTTTGATTGCCTTTTAATCATTCCGCCTCACCTGCTATCCTCTTCCGACGCACTGTTTGGGAACCACTGCCTTAAGCAAAAGAAGAAGAGGTAGACAGAGGAAAAAAATGTGCAACATCCCATGAATATAAGATGCTGGAATGTTCTAGATACGATTTTATTTCTGATTCTCTCTCTCTCTTCATGATTCCGAGTTCCATTTTTGCTGGATTAATTCAACGAAAAGAAAGACAATTGAAGAAATTATCCTTATAGTCTTTGACCATCAGGAATGTCTTCTTTTAGTGTATAGTTTGGATTCTGTCACTGATTCCCATTTTTGGCAGCGATTTCTTTGGCCTTAGTATTAATCTCATCCACATACGAAACGGGTGCTTTTTTTTAATAAAATTTTGTCACCTCATCGGATATCTTTTTCATATACTCTGTTGGGCTTATAGTGCATGATTTTTTTTTTTAGTTTTGTCTCCCATTATTAGAATTTTGTTCGTATTCTTTAACTCCTCTATATCAGCTGTTAATTTCTTTTAGAAGTTGTTTTTATTTTTGCTGAATTTTATTTTATCCAGTATTTTGATTAGATCTCGATACTGGCAATCATAATTCTCCACAAATTCATTTTGTTATTATTATTATTATTATTATTATTATTATTATTATTATATTTCTTTCTTTCCGTGTCCTAACCAGAGACTTAAGGTCAGAAATGGCATCATGACATTTTTCATTGAGAGGTTTTGAAAAAAAAAAAATCGCACATATTTTACATAGCCCTTCGTAAGTTGTGGGCTGTACTTGTGAGTACATTTTTTTTGTATTTCTTTAAGGCATGGGCTACTAGGGATTCCTTCAATGAGTCGATTGGAATCTTTTCCAATCAATCCGAGGGATCCAGCTACAACTAGAATTGTTAATGTCTTCATGCGCCACATTTTTGAGATTTCGATTTCAACGTCCTTGTATTTTGATAGTTTTTTGAAGATCTTCAAAGATATATTGCAGTCTACGCAGGGACTGCCATGTCAATAAGGAGGCACATTTTGTCATTGCGGTCTCTAATCACGATGTCAGGGCGGTTGGCCTTGATTACTCTGTCTGCGTATATTGTGAAGTCCCATAAAATTGTTACAGGCCCTATCTCTGTAACCGGGTCTGGGTGGTATTCATACCAATTTTTTGCAGTTTCCTTTCCGTAAGTGTTGCAAATTTTCCAGTATAGATATTGGCCGACTCTATCCTGTCGTGTTTTATATTCAATAGGTGTCAATACCATGGAACCTGATACAAGATGGTCAATTGTTTCTGAATATTTATCACAGAATCTGCACTTTGAACTAACAATTTTTTAGTATGTCTGCTTTGTAATTTCTAGTTAGCTTATCATTATTATTATTATTATTATTATTATTATTATTATTATTATTATTATTATTATTTCCTTTGATTTCTGTTGTGTACACATTTCCTTCCATGTTCCAACAATTTTCCAGTGATCATTTGTGTAAAAAAAAATCTAAAATCATACATATTTTACATAGATAAAGCTCTTCGCAATGTGTGAGCTGTACTTATTTATTATTATTATTATTATTATTATTATTATTATTATTATTTATACTTATATATATATATATATATACAGTGTAACCCGGATATAAGAGAGTTGTCGGGACCGGAGAAGAAGTCTCTTATATCCGGGTTTCTCTTATATCCGGGTTTGGTCTAATTTATATACATTAACACAGGCTCTAATTTGGAACCAGAGAAAAATCTCTCTTATATCCCGGTTTTTCTTATATCCGGGTTACACTGTATATATCGTCTAGATTACGATTTTTCCTAGAGTTTCGAATTTTTCTAACCATTCTTCGAGACTTTTGGTACCACTTTCTAGTATGTCAAATAATTATGGGCAGAAGGATCAACTTCACACATTCTCCTCCTCCCCCTCTTCATCCTTCTTTTTCTTCTTCTTCTTCTTCTTCTTCTTCTTCTTCTTATTATTATTATTATTATTATTATTATTATTGTGCTACCTTTGGGAAGATTGTGGTGTAGTTTCCTGTTGCATTTGCTACAGTTTGAAAACCAGTTTTCATTCGCTTAGAATTTTAGTCGCAGCTAGCAAACGCAGCTACTCTGCTATTTAAGTTATAACTGGGTAGGATTAATGCCTTTTCCAAGGGCATTAGTGCGAAAGTGACCGCACCAGACTAGCCCGGAATTTGAACTCGGCTCGTCGGTTAAACTTTCTGCGCCGATATCGCTTACCCTATCGGACTATCACATACGACAGGCATCGATTACAGATCAACAAAATGAAGAAAATATAGAAGTGGGCACTCTACGATTTGACGAATATATATTTGGATTTAAAAAAAAACTGTCCCCACTTCAAGATGGAGGTGGTCACTACTCTCCACACGTTCCTTTTTCTTTATTTGTAAATTGTCATTACTTCATGGACAAGATAGAGGAGCGGTTTCTCCTTGCGTACGAATGACTTCAGAGTTGTCCTTCTCCTAAGTTGGCTACCATCCAAGTCCTATTCTGCTCTACGAGTTAACCCCTGCGTATTTGCTGCAATTTCGTTTAATAAAGTAGAACTTACATATGTTACAAATTCATGACGGTCGTCTTCGAGTATAGAATCCAGAGGTTGGCAGTGAATATTTCGGAGACAGTAGGAAAGCGTAGTTCAGGTTTGCAGTGGATATCATAGCAGAGCGTAGTTCTTCCTTCTGGTATCTTCGCCTGACAAGTTGGCACTAGTCATTCCGGTAGGGTAAACAAAGATAGCCGCCTTTATACACGACGGATCCAATGTTCTGCGGCTTCTGATTGGTCAACTTTCTATTGGTAGACTATAAAGTGAGTCAGGGTATTTTGATTGGCTCACTAGTTATACAGTATATACACAAAAAACTGTAACAACATACACTATCTATTCCTAGAGATGCTAGAATAATGGTCGGTTGATTGTTCATTGCTCTGATTCGCACTGTTAAACTTTATATTTAAATGAGCCAGATCAGACTAAATATGGAGTATTGCTGCTATATCTGGGCTGGAGCTACCCAATCCTCTCTTGATAGAGAGCAAAATCATCTTCGTGGCCTTGTAAGTAATAAATTGTTTTCCACCATACAATCCTTTTCCTCTAAGTCATAAGCCACTCTATCGCTATTTCCATGGAAAGTGTTCTGACGAGCCACATTTCTTTGTCCTACCAGCCATGACCTTTGCAAATAGGGCCCACCATGCCACGTACACAACGATGAATCATTCTCATTCCCTTCGTATTCCATTAATCAGAAGTAATTTCCACTCGGACTGCTTCTTCCCAAGAACAGCTGATTTGTGGAACAGACACTCGGTTTGCGATCGTCAGACAAACTCTTGTCTGAAGATCGCAAATAGCGTGAAACCCAGGGCCACAAACTCACATCAATCCAACTAAATATGTTAGCTCTATCACTGATATTGAGCGCTTTCCAATAAGAAGCGCTCATATATAATATATAAATAATATATATATATATATATATATGTATTTACATTTATATACATACACATTATGAATATCTATCTATCTATCTATCTATCTATCTATCTATCTATATACCAGGTTTAACAGCAAAACTGTCCAAATCGTGTAACAGCAAAATTGTCCATTTGTTAGATTAAGATTTGAACTGTTGTATCTTAGAAATGATTAAAGATATCTTACTGGAATTCTCTATTAGTTTGGTGCAAAAAAAATGACGTAATGATGTCGTTTTTTGACGTTAAAAAATACGTCCAAAAACGACATTATTACGTCATTATTTTTGCACCAACCTAATAAAACTATTGGACTCAACTCTGAAGAATAAGAGTGTATTTAGCTCTAAGTTGAAATGATGATTCCTCTTGCAGTTGTGACCTCCTGATCCAGTTTTTCTCTCTACAGTTCCCTCTTTTTTTAAACTGCTCTTAAACCATTCTCTTGATGGTTCTTGAATGGACGTTGAAGATAGAAGCCAGAGTATGAATGTTGGTAACGTTACTGGAGGCCTAAATGATCTTTTTCGTCTCACTTTTGGGAAGACATAGTGGGACTGACACAAAACTATTTTAACCTGTTCACCTTCCATGTGAATAACTCAAATGATTTATCAGTGACAAACCGCATCAAGATGGCCAAACGTCTTATCTGAAAACCTGGAAAAGAGAAACTCAATCAGTTTAGTGGCTCTTTTAGATATTAAACATTCTTGTGGGATGGACAATTATCCAATGTTGTTGCACGGTTTGGACAATTTTGCTGTTAAACCCGTATATATATATATATATATATATATATATATATATATATATATATATATATATGTTTTATTAAAGACGACAGACGAGTCAATGAGATTAAGCTTTTTATTCGCAGTAGCTTGTCTGTTGTTTTAATGAAACGTGTATAAAAGGATCGTTGCCTAAATACACAATATATATATATATATATATATATATATATATATATATATATATATATATATATATATATATGTATGTGTGTGTGTCTGTGTGTATGTGTGTGTTTGTTTCACAAATATTTGCTAAATAGGTAGTTTTTTATTCAACATTTTTATCATCTCAATTCAATTTGTCTGCCATTTTGCTTAGCGATAAATCGGCCTCTGGCATCTAGAAAGGCATCTCCCAAACCTCAGATATTTACAGATTAAAAATGTTTACGTAAAAGATGAAGAAGTTTTTCTTAATTTAAAAAAAAAAATATATCTTCGTGGCTAAAAAAAAAAAAAAAAAAAAAAAAATAATTTTTTTTTTTTTTATGAATTTTTGTTTGAAAATCGAAGAGAATGGATGTTTGTTGGTTGCGTAATCAGAATATTAAAGAATATTGGAAGCGGGAAGTGACGTAGAAAGAGGAACCAAAAGTGAAAGAAGAGATAAAGATAAAAGAGGGAGGATTTTGTGAGGATACGGGTAGAGAAATTCTGTCTGAAATCCTGGGTTGAGGGGTTATCATTATTTACACTATTTATATTCGGACTATTCTACTCACCTCGTGGATAAAAGCCTTGGTTTTGTGAATTTGATGACATAGTGGTTGTGGGTTCAGTCCCTGGATCTGACAGTGTATACTGGCACTCAATAGAAATAGGCGAGCAATAACTGAACAGTACTAAATAAAATAAGAACTAGATGATATTGCTCTATTGTAGTCGTTTACAAGTAAAAGTAATTGAGTTTCTGGGATGAAGAGTTGTCATTATTTGCACTGTTTATATTCGGATTATTGTCCTCATCTTGTTCGTTATCACTACGCTTGCAACCTAATCAGCAGCCAGGTTATGTTTAAGGCTCTTAGTTCACTACAGCAAATTGTCCTACGGGACAATGGCCAAGTGGACGAAAACGTTGGTTCGTGAATTTGATGACATAGTGTTTGCGAGTTCAATCGTATCTGGCCAGTGTGTACTTTCACTCAGTGGAAACGGGCGTGCAATAAATAAAATAAAATAAAATAAGAACTAAAAATAAAAACTAGACGATATCCCTAGACATTAGCAGTGGAACGAGAACAATCTACCCCCGTAGATTCAATAAAGTGTTCTGTTCAGAATCCCTTGTAGGTTATCCAGACAAATAGGATAACCTACAATACGTGATGAACCTGAGAAATTAGAATTAAACGTGAATGGAGTTTCTAATACCCATCACATCAATGGCTCTATCGATATGAGGGCCTAATGGCTAATTTGATTAAGAACTAGATGGTATTCCTACCCGTGTAGATTAAATAAAATGTTCAGTTTGGAATTGCCTGTAGGTTACCCAGATCGATATACACCTGAGGAATGCCGTGGGGCACAATGAGCGAAATGTTGTGATAACAACAAAGATGAGGAAAATAGTCCGAATATAAATAGTGTAAATAATGATAAAGCGATTTTTAGGCTTTAATTGACGATACGAAAAAATGAATGCAGTAAGTCTCCGATCGAGATATATTTGTTTATTTTTAAGTGTTCTAAGCTTACAAAAAATGTGAATTCGATTCATACCGGTGCTTCATAGATAGACCTTGCACCATGATCGGACAGTATCCAACATGCATCTATGTGGAAAGAAGACAAATAAATCGAATACGTTCGAGCGCGCGCGCATACACGCAGACCTATTTCCACACACCAAAAGTCGTGTAGTCATTCAATATTGATAAGCCGATAAAACATGTTTTTTTCGTAATATATCGATGTTAATACAAAATTGCCCATAAAAATGCACACGCTACGTACGTATATATTATACCTATATTTCTGTTTATCCTATAGACAGTTTTATTTTACAATCAACTTTGTCCAATTTTAGTGTACAAGCTAAATAGCCATTCTACGAACAGCGAAAATATAAATTGTCATAAAAGTTCACTGAAAAAACGAAATGAAAACAATTAAAAAATAATAACAATAAATAATTAAAAAAAAGAAAAGGAAATGCATCTTCCCATGATGCTAATAATAAAGGAACCGGAAATACGATAACCCCACTTGGCTTCATCAAACGTTGTTAGGCGGCGCTGGTTAAGTCTTATCAACTTTTTTCTCCCCTTGTTCCAAGATGTAGCACAATGTAGAAACTACGTCCCCGCTGTGGCGTTGTTCGTTTCCCCGGTCCACTGACGTCTGTACTTTCCACTTCACAACGCATGGCGTTCATATTCACACGTGTCTTCCAAAACCTCCACCTGCGAAGTAAACCAACTTTTTCCTTGGTCGTTCCACCTCAGTGTAAGGCTGACTTGAGCTCGACCATTAGAACGAAACTTATCCTTACCCTAACTTCGGGACAATGAAAAAGAAAACGAATATACAATAACCCTGTTTAAACCTTCTAACGATGAAGTAATTACAAACTTTTCTTTGGTCGTTTCAACACTGCAAGGCAGTCTTGAGCGCAGCAATTATAACGATGTTTTTACTTACTTAGCCTAACTCCTTGACCAAAACCGACATACCCAAGAGAAATCCAAGTCTTTATACGCTTTCTCTTAATTGTTTACATATCAACACGCAAAAACCTAAACAAATACATAACACGCAAACATTTAAGTGCCATATTTCTTGTAGCTCTCTAAACTTTCTGTATAGACAACATTTTCAGCAAGGTATCTATTCTCTAAAGTTCTTTTTGTCATTATATTAAGTCCATTTGCGATTTCCTTCTCTGGATTTATCCAGATAGAATTGATCATAAGAGAAAGATTATTCAATATTCTAATATTTATATTAATAATAAAAATTATTATAAATACAGAAATCTCACTATTCTTCCCGCGTTTAAATAATTTGGGGCAGTTTTAAGAAAATCTAATTACATAAATTATTTTCACTTATTTTTATTCCATAAAATCTTTTTCCGGCTTTGCTCGACTAACTTGCAGTAACATAAAATAGCAGATGACAACAATGCTTATTATTATGAAGGCTGTAGGTTTTCTAACTTACAACTGAATTTTGACAAAGTAGATATAAGTTCTATCATAGAAACTCTCTTACCTCTCTAATATTTCTCTATAAACAACATTTTCAAGAAGACATCTTTTTTTAAATTTTCTTTTTGTCATTATACTAAGTTCACTTGAATTTCCTACATGGAGCTGAGCATGAGAGAAACTTTTCTAATTTTCTAAAGTTTATATGAATAATAATAATAATAATAATAATAATAATAATAATAATAATAATGAATTCAGCCAACTTATTTTTACTTGTCTAAATAATTTTCTACAGTTTTAAGAAAATGTAGATTCTGAATTTAACTGCAGTACTTGACTAGCGGCGAGGCCTCATCAATTAAGTCGGTTAGATGTAACCGTAAATTCTATGCTAACAATTTCTTTTTTCGCACTTCTCGCATGTGGAACTCACTTTCGGCTCCGTGCTTCCCAGCCAACTTTAATATTCAAAAATTTAAATGCAATGTCAATCGCTATCTGCTGTCCTCCTGATTACTCTTTTTGCTCTCGCTCCTTAGTGATGTTCCTGTTTCTAATTCTTCCACACTCAGTAACCCCTTGTGTCTTAGTGGATTTACTAAGTCAAAATCATCTGTGATCTCGATTAAAAAAAAATAAAAACAAAAAAAAAACATGTAATTTTGAGTTAGATAACGCCATGTTTTTTTTTTCACCATTCGACTAATTTGTAGTAATACGAAATAGCAGACGACAAGGCTTATTATGAACGCTGTAGGTTTTGTAACTTTACGACCGAAGTTTAACAAGGCAGATATTGTCATTTAGTTTATGGAACACCCAGTGAGGATCCCACTCACTATTCAGTCGTAATTGATGTAGTGAGAAGATTGCTAACCATTTTGCCATATTGTGTCCAGTGATTTACTAAATGAAGCCTTGGTGTGACACAAGGCTGAAAGTATGGAGCACTTAGTGAGGATCGAAGTCACTAGTAATTGATATGGTGGGAGAAGCTTGATTAACCATTACACCACGTCGAAGTGCTCAAACAAAGGCAGACATAATTTTTTTCCATACAAAGATGATGAATTTAAAAATAAAACTTTATTAAAGGAAACATTGATTATTTTAAAATTTGAATTAAAATA